CAACATTTTTCTCTGCCAATTAGCAAACGCAAATGGATATTAATTATTCATAATTGCTTGGCATAGAGATACTCTTTTCGCTCATCTTTTTCTCATGGCCGCGCAACGTGGTAATTGCACGTCGAGTCGGGCATCTCTGCAACGCGGCTTCGGCAAATTTAAGGAGAGTGACGATGGAATGTATTCGGAGGCACAAATAATTATCGTCAAATGTTTGCGGTCGTACGTTAAATGATTTGGCCATAAATCTCCGTGGCGAATTAGGTTCCCGATGTATAGTTTAGCGAAATCGGACGGTTGACATAGTCAAATTTATTCGCGTCGACGGTAGTGCGAATGGCTCCGTAGCGAGCTATCGCTAATTAACGTGAGGAAACTCATTTGCGATTTGCGTTAAACGTTTTTTAAGGCATTAAGAATTATCGGCTGCAACATCGGTTTTACTCAGAAAAGGTAGCTCCTTTCGATTTCCTTCCAATGTTTTACGCTTCAGTTAAGAGATAATAATTTGATAAGCCTAAAAATCTCTCGTCATTTGTTTCACATGAAGCAATGTTGCACAAGAAGAGTAAAGATAAAACAAATGAAATTAAAACAGTACAAAGATACTTCCAGAGCGCGTGATTCAGGCTAATAACCGAGTTAAAAGTAGTAAACTTCTAATTTTACATCAGAGATGATGAATATTGAGATCACGAGATGCTTGTTTGCTCTGTCACAAGTAAGTTGGACTAATAATTGACGGTAACTTTTCTCAGAGTCATATTTACGCAAATTCAATTTGCGCGCGTATCTTAAAAAGAGGAGTATTTGCATCTGCTGTCGCTTACCAAAGAAACTTTCTCGCGCCGCGATTATTGTCGTGTCCAGAAAAGTGCGACGCGCGCGTGCAGTAGCGCGGGCAAAAAGTCGCGGTAACACGGAATTTCGACTGGTTCACCTTTCGAGGCCCGACGATTTTATTGCTGCATTCGCGGTATACACGATGCACACTCTATGCAGCCCGTGAACTACGCAAGAACGCGCCGTGCGAGCTCTCGTCCGCGAGATAATGGCAAGATGAATGCGAAATGGCGAACGCAGAGGCACCTTTCGATACGCGACCTTGACTGGAGATCGCTTTTTCTCTCCGATTCGTCATTCCACGCCATTGATGACCACACTAGAATCCGCAAGAGGAGCGGCTCTCGTCGTTTCTTTTTTCTTCCTCTTCTTCTCCGTTTTGTCTTTTTCTTTCGAAACGGTTACACAACAATCGTTCATATTGCGACCATGGTGCGCCGCTGAACTTGAATTATTATGCTCAAGAGGAAGTTTTCCTGCCTTCCTGCGTCTTCTCCGTCTCTCACGAGAGAGTTTGCAGCTGCCTATTACGACGTATGATATTAAGCATACTCCATTCGCTGCAGGGACGGTTTCACTCGGGTTTCCTGTTTTTTTTCCGCTTTCATATTTTTTTTACTTCTCTGCTCCCGAGACAACTTCGAAATCGTCGCAGCGGTCGAAACGACAACGAGCACTTTCAAAATTGCTGCACGTATGAATCATCAACGAATCATACGGACGTCAATGTAACGTGTTATCGCCAAACGCATTTATTATTAAAATGCTTTTTAAGCATTTAAATAGTATAAAATAGTATATAAAATAGTATAAAATAGTATAAAATACTAGGGATATCCATGAACAAAATTACCAATGACGTGTATTCCAATGTGATCGAGTAATTCTCGTGTCTTTTTGTTAACGAATTACGCGAGCGGAAAGTTCTACAAGTACTCATTATATTTCGCTCATGGCGAAGACTACATTTTTCCACAATATCGCTGGTAATATATATATACATATATACATATGACTGAATATAAAATAGATATCAGTACAATGAGCCATGAAGAGCCTCGCACTCCGTCGGCTTGGTAGTTACTGTTTAATGAGTTTGCTCCCCTACGCGTTACATAATTTAGCGTGATCTTTCAAACGGAAAGTGGAACAGTTTTTTGAAGACAATAACTATGTCATTTGCGTTTCGTGGTTCCGCCGATCATATTTTCTCATTGTCAGCGCTGCCCCCCTGCAATCTACCTGTCTCTCGTTACACGTTAGGCCTGGCCGTCGTTTTTACTACCAATTATGTCGCCGCATTAATTTGCACCGCCTCCTGCATCCAATCACATGGAATGTCAGTCCACAGCCGCGACAATTGCCTCATTATCGTCGGCAGTTTCACCGTTTCGCTTAGATAGAAAATGACATAAGCTTTGACGACAAGTGAAAGAATCGTCGGATGGCACTACGTGCGGGTCTAAATATACGAACGGAAATCCCTGTTTATTAATAACGAAAAATGTGAAAACACATTCTGAAGAGTCGTCGCTATGTAAGAATCGTATCGCCGCGTTCCCGCGCGATTAGCGCCGATCGTCGTCACAGATCGATACCTGTATCTTTTACACTTTATCGTATCATATCCGTAAAAGTGTCCGCAAACATTTTTCAACGCTATGTCAATATTACGTCAGCGATCATCCTTAACCCTTGCTTGAGCACGCCGAACAAGCGCCACGAAAGAACAACTCCATTGAAATATGGAAGATATTGACGGTAATAGTAAGATCGAGTCAAAGTCGTTTTAACTTGCGACATCGTGTGTAGCACGGTTTGTCCTTAATTACACGGTGATGGGCAGAATGGTTGCAACACTTTTTTAAATGAGTTTAGGAACGCACGTTTAGATTCAAGTTTATGTTCCTAAACATTTTCTATGGGAAAAAGTTTACTCAAGAAATACATCGGAAACGCTCAAAATGTCCATTTCAGAATGGCCATCGAATAAAATACTCCTCGGAGAAGAAGATTTGGGTACGTAAACCTGAATCTAACTGCACGTTCCTAAACTCATTAACAAAAAAGAGCCGCAACCACTCTGTTCGTCACTGTACAAGGTACACAGTAAAAAATAAAATGTTAACATTTTTTACATGTCCCAAAAGGTCCACTACTCGCACGTGTTACTCTTTGACAAATTATAAATGATAATTAACTAACACTATACTTCACATTTATGTTTGTTCTTTTAATCAGTAGTGATGTAATAAAAACAGGCAGGACAAGTAAGAACTGTACGAATAGTTACAAATTAGAATAGCTGAGATAATTTTTAAGAAATGTCGATACTACATGTTTGGTTGATCTTGTGAAATAGTTGTGTTAAAAGAACTCAAAATAATATTCAATTTTTAAATGACATACATAAAGTGCCAAGTTATTATGTCAACATAAATATAACACGCAAAAATGTTACGAAAATATAACATATTTTATGTTAATTTTACATTGAAATAATAATCAAATCTTAGCAACACAAGAAAATTTTAACATTTGAACACGCGATTTTTTACTGTGCACCCTCAATTGTACGGGTAATCTAATTCGCACCCACTATTTATACATATTCCTCGTGAAAAACCGACATGAGCCGAAAAGTCCCAAGCCAGTTTGTCGAATTATGCTTTATAAATTAATTATTAATAATTAAAAATTGTCAGCGTCGCTTTTTAAGCGAACGCACGCTCGTGAGTCGCGCATCTACCAGCGCGCGTGAAGTGAGCCGCGCGCGTTAGGGCCTGAGAAAGATTGTCGTAACTGTTTACGATTCCGTCGTAAGACGTAAATCGGGATCCGAAGTCAACGTACAAAAAATGTCGTAGACGTATGTTGCATCCATCGCGTCTATTGCATCGCGAGGCGACATACGTATACGACAATTCTTTGTGCGTCCAATTCCGACACCAACTTACGTCGCACGACGGGATCGTAAACGCTTACGACAATCCTTCTGCTAAGGCCCTTAGGCCCGGTTTCGCTAACATCGCTTAACTTTAAGTTTAGCTTAATTCGTTCTTTGTCTCTTTCCAACTGTTACTTTAGAAAGAGACAAACATGAATTAAACTAAGATTAAAGTTCAGCGACGTTTGGTGAAACCGGGCCTGAGGGCCTTAGGCCTGTTGTTATACAATACGTGGTTTGTCGCTGTCGGATGTAGTCGATGGTTCAATGAGAAAATTTCTTTTCAAAAAATCAACTTTCTTTTCTTATTTTTGACAGCGACAAACAGCGTATTGTATAACAGACCTAAGGCCCTTAGGCCCGATTTCACCAACATCACTTAACTTTACGCAGGCTTAATTCGTTCTTTGTCTCTTTCCACCTGTTACTTTAGAAAGAGACAAACATGAATTAAACTAAGATTAAAGTTAAGCGACGTTTGGTGAAACCGGGCCTTAGGGCGCTTCGCGCACAGTACATGCGCGGCTCACGAACGTGCGTCCGTTTAAAAAGTGATGCTAATTGGCTAATTGTTACTTAATAATAACCACTTTATGAAGCATGATTCGACAGAATGGCTCGGGACTTTTCGACTCATGTTGGATTTTCAAGAGGAATATCACTGTATAAATAGAGGGCGCGAATTAGATTACAACTTGTATATCGGCGATTGTACAGAATCATCGTCAAACTTGATATTGTTTTACTCGCAACAACTTCGGAGCATAACTCATCTCTGGATCTCCTCGGAGCGAGACGACGTGTTCCGAATCATTCGAATCGCCGAACGTGTGTTAAAATTAGCACGACATTATTCAATGTCAAAATTACGATCGGCGGGACATAACTAGCGTGAAAAACAAATTTATAGGCTTTTATCTGCGCTTATCAACGAGGGTTTATGGTACCTGTCGATTGTTTACGCCAGGCTCGACCGCCAGTATAATCGCAGAACGTATCACTAGCGTGAGAAATGAGCGTGTCGTGCGACGCAAGCGGCAACGAACGTGTTAATCTTTTAATCCCCTTTTGCAACGAGCTATCGATTCACCGAGCGCGATCGGAGCGGTCGATCGCGCTCGACGAAAGGGACGCGTCTCCTAATACCGTTTTGGTCTCCACAAAAACAGGCTACCAACGCAAAAGGGCGTTACATAATAATTTTTCTCACCTTGCGCTTTTTCTACTACTGCGCTCGCTGTCCAACGTGTGATGGTTGACGGTATCCAGGGTGAGCAACACGATGCGGTATATATCCCACGGGACTATCTCGTCGAGTCACGTGAAAAACATTCCCTTCGCGAGCCGGCGACGACGAGCCAAGATCCCGTGACATCGGCGACGTGGTCGACGCTGCGGGCACGTGACGTACATTGATATTCCACGGTATGGATCACCACCACTGGGCACGAGAGGAACAGATCAGTAGTAGTAGGTAACGTCGAACGAGAGAAACGTGCACGAGGAAACCCGCTCGCGGCGAACCCGAGATAGACCGGCACTTTGTATCACTTGACACTCGCGGACATCGCGATCGCGCACGAGGGATATCCTCGACGCCGGCCGGACAAGAGTAGAGGATCCTCCGCTCTTCGAGGACGTCGTTACGCGCGATCAGTGGTTCTTCACGATCCTCCCCGTCGTCGAGGTTTCGTCTCGCTGCTCTTCGCGATGTCACACACGTGGTTTTGTCTCGCGACACGCAAACACGCGCACTGGGTACGGCGCGCCTCCTCGATTTAGATTCACCTAAATTCGACGCGAGAAGATATGCCGTGGCGTTGATGATGTCCGCGACAATGATAAATAAAAGGGCGACGATGACGATGACGACGGTGACGACGGAGAATTTTTTTTTTCCTCAACGGGGTCTGCTCCGTTGACTGCCCAGGGTCAACCGGCTGGCTCTGCGCGCGGCACTTTTACCCGTTGGGTACTCTCAAGGACTCGGAGGTGGCTCCTATTCCTTTCTCTTATCCTTTCGCGCGCGCGCCTTTTTTATCCCGCTAACCTTTTTAAACGCACTTTTAATTCCGCTCGGCCGCGTGTCCCCGGCGAACGCTGGCCGCGGTGGTTACCCGTATTGTCTCAGTGCGCTCTTTCGATCGCGGATTAACAAATTTCCCGCGCCGCATTCGCGAATTCAGCGTCGTCGTGCGGCGCGACGCACCGTGACGATCGGCAGGAGAGCGGGAGAGCGGAAAGCGAGTGGATCTCGCCACATCCGGATCGTCTTTCAGACTCGTCCTTCGCTACCGCGGTCTCCTCTCCGCCTCTTTCTCCTCGTTCCGAAAGAGCGAGCCTTCCCTCGGCTCGCTCGGCGCCTTCCTCGTCCTCGTCGTCGAACCACGCGACGGTCGCGAGGACTCCTGTCCTCCGCGCGAGAAATCCGCGTCCTCCTCCTGCGGTTTTCGCGCACACGGTTGTCGTATCGCGGTCTGTTTCTCTCCTCCTCCTCCTTCTCCTCCTTCTCCTCCTTCTCCTTTTCTCCCTCTCCGTCTCGGACTGTCTCTCTCTCTTTCTTCGCTGTCCTTTTCCCTTCCGCGTCTCCCTTTCCGTCTGTCTGTCTCCTTTCTCTTCTGCGTGTTGTAATCCCTTTTGCGAAACTTCTTGCGCCCGGACGAGGCGGCGAGGTAAAAGCGAGCGCGCTGTCGATCGTGAACTGAGGGAGAGAGAGAGAGAGAGAGAGAGAGAGACAGGTTAAATTTGCACGCGAATACCGCGCGTCGAGTCCTTCCACGGTGGTGCTACCGGGATGCCACTCGATGATAATGATGATGGTAATGGTGATGTTGACGATGACGATGACGACGACGACGACGACGATGACAATGACGATGAGGACTACTCTCTAGCAGCAACTCCGGAAACGAATTATCGGTGGGATACCAGCGACTGTGACCTTGAACATTCGCGTTTCGCGCTGGACGGAGTGAAACGCGCGGGACCGATCACTTTCCATCGTTCGTTCTCGCTGTCAGCGCCGTGTCGCTCGCGGCTCAGGCGCGACGACTCGCGTTTTCGATCCACCCCGACGACGGAAAACTCGCGGAGACACCTCCGCACGCGCCGATACACCTCCGCGAGCGCGAGCGTGCGAACGAAATACCACGCGCGAGTGTATTTCGCGAAGCAGCGGACTAGAAAATGTTGTTACGCAATATACGGAGCGCCGTTCCTCTTCTCTCCTCTCTATCTTCCTCTCTTCTCCCCTTATTCTTTCCCTGGTACGCCGTCTTCGGGACGTGCAAATTCTTCGTTGGCTCAGCTTCTCGTCAAGGGCGCCCAAGGGGCGTCCGCGATCATGTGAATCCGGACGCACGCACGAGTACACGCAGACACAATCTCACTATCACTATCTCTGTCTCTCTTTCCCTGCCTTTCTTTCTTTCTTTCTTTCTTTCTCTTTCTCTCTCTCCTTCTCTCTCTCCCTCTCGCTTTCTCTGTTTCTTCAAGGAGAAAGAATAAAATCGGAAGTCGTCGGAGAAAGACGGACAGAGAGAGAGAGAAGCGAGAGATATTCGGTAGTATCCAGCCTACAGGAGGCAGGATCGGATTTTAGCGCGCGGCAGCACGCGCACCCGTCAAGTCGATGGTTTCAACTTTTACTTTCAGCTCTTACACAACGCGGCCCGCTCTTGCTGGTACGTAAGCGGCAAGCGTAAGCGACAGCGAGTCCTGGTCTTCAGCTTCGAGGCTTCTTCTTTTTATTCTTCTGCTTCTCCTCTCCGTTTCTTTCTCTTCTTTATCTTCTTATTCTTTCTTTTCTTCAATGCCTTCACTTCCTTGTACTTCTTTTCCGCTGGCCAACGTTTGAAGAAGACTGTTTTATTTCGATTATCTGTGGAAGTGTCAAAAGTCCGAGGAAGATAATTTTCTAAAATTTTCCTATCTTGTGTATCTCAAGTTCTGATTAACGACAACACAAAGGGCAAGCATGATTCACACCAGAGGAATTGTCCTCCAATTCTGTCACTCGTAAGCGTTGAAGGTGACAATAGATCGACGTGTGATCGTAAGGATTCACGTGTTTTATCGAGATCACTTTATCAGGTAACATAGGAGATCCGATCGAATTGGTGCACTCTCGCAGGATTATCCGAAAGTGGGAGGACACTTTGGTTACCACGTGTCCACGCGGCGATCAGCGCGGAGGATGCTTGACGACGTTGTCAGTTTTCCTCGTGATGCTCCGTATCGCACTCCCGCGCGTATACAAGCGGTGACACTCTTGATTGGCGTCGACGTTTTTCGCGCGTGTTCGCTATCTCTCTCTCTCTATCTCTCTTGTTGTTTCATTTTCTCTCTCTCTCTCCCCTCTCTCTCTCTTTCTCTCTCTCTTTACGTCGGAGGACTTCTTCAGGGAGAGAGGGTTCTCTTCCGGTCTCCGCGATGTGTCTCACTGTTCCTCGCTCCGTCGTAACTTTTGCGCAAAGCCAAGACCCTCTCTTACTCTCTACCTCTTTCTTTCTCTCTCTCATTCTCCCGCTCTCACTCTCCCTCTCGCTCACGCTCTTTCTCTGTCCTAGGTAAGCGCGAAGAGAGGTACAGCCGGACGGTCGGCAGGAGGTGGCGGTGGCGGTGGCGGCGGCGGCGGCCGCTGCGGCGGCGGCGGCGGCGGCGGCAGCGGCGGCGGTGGTGGTGGTGGTGGTCGCCGAGTCGTTGGTGGTAGTGGCACATCAGCGATATTTCAACGTGTGTCGGATGAGTACAACCACGACGGCGACCAGCGACGGTAGTGGTGGTCATGGTGACGACGATGGTGATAGGGACAGTAACTGTAATAGTGGCGGGTGGTAGTAGCAAAGAAGAGGCCAGGTGGGCCTGCAGATTTATGGGGTCCAGAAAGGGTTGAGGGTCCGAAAAGTGCGTTTTTCACTCGGCCGTGAGCTACCGACGTTGTTATACGCCGCAGTGTAGAGGAGGCTTCGTGAGTTCGTGAGTTTATTTGTAAAACCGTCATGGTATTGGTCCCTCGTTGAGTGGCACCTTTCCTCTGTCTCTCTCTCCCGCTCGCACGCCCTTGCTCCACCTCTCCTCTCCTCATCTCTCTGCCTCTGTCTCTCTTTTTCACTCTTCACGTATCTGTCTATCTCACGTTTTCCCTTTCTTGCTCTTTCTCCCCCACCTAGGGAGTACTCCACCTACCACTACCTTCCTCCACTCTTCCTTTCCCCACTAATGCTCTCACTATTGCATTACAAATAGCTCTCTTGCCTAGGTCTTATTGGTGAGGTGCTGCTCTCTCTCTCCCTCTCTCTATCCCTCTCCCTCTCTCTCTCTCTCTTTCTCTCCTTCTCTCTTTCTCTTTCTCTCTCTTTGTGTAATATATACGAGTAATCGCACGCGTGTGTATAAGTACACGTGTACGTTGCACGTCTTCGCTTATACACGCGGTGGTTTACATGTTCCGCCAGTGCACATGCACAAGGCGATAAGAGTACACTCTCTAGTCTCCGTCCGTTTTATTGGAGCACGATTCTCCCGTCTTTCTATCTCTCTCTTCCTTTCTCACCCCTATCCTTCTATCCTGGACTCGCCCTGTCTCCTTTCTATAGTCCCTCTCCCTCCCTCCGTCTTCTCCCCTCTTTTATCTTTCTCTCAGTATTGCTCTAGCGCATAGACGATGACGCACACCAGCCCAGCCTCTATGCACTGGTTTCCTATCCTCGTCATTCGGACACGACAGAATAAAAGCACTCCTTGTCGCCGCAATGGTGTAATACAAAAACGAGCGTTCACGCCTGCGCGCGCGTAAAATACGTAAGAATGGAGCGAGTGCGGCGGTGAACCGCTATTAGCTTCTTCCTAGTTCCTCCAGTCATTTCGTACCCTTCGCAACCTGCTGACACTCCCGTTCCTTCCCACACTTCCTGTTGTATCCGTATCTATTCCTATTCTATTCTTTCCCAGTTTTCTTCTCTCTTTCTGTCTCCCCGCCCTCTCTCGTCTCTTTCATCTTGGTTCAAAATTTTTTTTCTTTTCTTCACTTCTTCATTGGTGAAACGAATATAAACGATTCTCACTCCGCCTTCATTTCTTCCATCTTTCCTTCAGAGTGCCCATATTTTTTTCTTCCTATTCATCGATGAAGTTGCTCCTCCTACGTTTCCTTTTCTCTGTGCCTTCTTTTTCTTCGTTATGACAAGAGAAACGTTCTTTTTAATGCTGGTCCGTTAATTTTAACTTTTTTGTTTTTACAGTATTTTGCAGCGAACTGTTGTATTTCTTGTATTTATATGTCGTTTTTGTATTGATTGTCCGCGGGTTTTTAATGTAACATTTTGAATATTCTTGACATCAAAAATACAAGATCTAAATCACGAACAATATATATTTCTTTTATTTACTGAAACTAAATGAAACTATGGCTTTTCAGCGTTTTAGTTTATTGGAATACATGACAAGGTGGATACGAAAAAGAGATAAAAGAAGGAATTAAAGAGGAACATGACCCAAAGTACGAATTTGCGCGTTATCTTTAGGCGCTCACGAAACAACAGCCTGTTCACGATCTCAGTTTAGCTTTTCCTTTCTCGCGCCTTTCTCCCGTAACTCCGCACACTCTTTCATTCATCCTTCCTTACTGTCTCTTTCTGTCTCTTTCTCGCCTGCGCGCAGCACTCTCTTTCAAAAAACACGGAGGCGGCAGCACGTAAAGGTCTCTTTCTCATCAGGTGGAATTATACCGACATGGTGGTCGCTTGTTGCAGCGACTCGGGCGTTTTACGAGCGATCGATCGCGAAATGCTTGAATGATTCGACGGTAAACACCGTCCGATTAATGTCCACCACTCCGTTTGCGACTGGACCACGGTTTTTCGTTCGATCAGTAAACACGTAGCTTGCAATCGGAGAGCCAGAACCGCGATTAAAATCGGTCTAATTTCGCCAAGCTTAAAGTTCTCGATGCTACAGAAAATGATATCCGCTCGTTTATTCATTAGAATGTTGAGATATAAAATCGACGATAATGATTTTTTGTTATTCCCACTTATGTCACGCGTTTCTTATTTGAGAACAAAATATTACAGATTATTCACGAGTTACTTAGTAAAAACAGTTACGCGAATAAAAACTCATCGACCGTCAAGAAAGTATCCACGTCGGAAGCACGTGGATTAATAAGCGACGTGCTGCTTTGTCACCGTTTTATGTAACAAAGTCATTATTCGAGGCGCACGATTGTTTTTTAGTATTTTAAAACGAGAGTTTCCACGAGGTCAAAAATGTATTATTTATATGCAAGTCAACTGGGGTCCGAATACGCATATTCTTGCGTCGCGTTCATTAAACGCGATTCCTTAACCACGCTCGTTAACAAGAATTTTAAGTGTTTAATTGCCGTCGTGGTTGTTCATTATTTAGCGAACGGCTCGCATGCAGCGGGACATGCGAACTTTCGTGCCGTCCTCGCTTTCAGTTTGCATTTAATGTGCGGCCGGTTCTATCTCTCGTTCTCGTGTCGCTGTCCCCGCTCGTCGCTCCAAGGCGAATTGTCATCCCGATCGGATCTGGTACGCATGACGATGCGTACGCGGGATTGCAGCAACGACAGCTATACTTAGCGCATTAGACGAATCTCATCCGAGGGCCGTCGCGGACGAAAGGAGGTCGTGGAACAGCTGATGCGGCGGATTTGGCGTGACGGCGTCTTTACCATCTCAGCGCACTTTCAGCTTCCTCCCAACTACCTTCCGCACTCGCCGACGCAAAAACAGCTGAGAAACGAAAGGATCGCGATTTACTGCGATTCTTTTAAAACTCAGAAGCGCGTAGATATTGTGCATTTATAATTGTGCCGTATCTGATGACATTGCACCGCGCAACCATAACTTTTCCATTGATTTTGGAACTTTTTACAAATCAATATAGAGAGATGTAACAACGTTTAGTAATCCCGAGTCGAAATTTCGGTACTATTTTGACACATTTAAGGATAATTTACACCCACTTAGCTGATCTATACACCTACATAGGCCAGCCATAACCTACTTTGATGACATTATATTTTTTTACTCCTCCCTTGAATTCTAAAAATTTATTTTAGCTCCTACTTAAAAGGACCTACTTTAATGCTAAATTGGCAAAAGTAGAAATTTCCGACACTATCAGTTTTAAAGTAGGAGTCAATTTTGTTCTTGGAGTTCAACCTCTTTTACTGCCTTAGGTCCTAGTATACAGGGTGGTCAATTTAAGTGTGGACATGGAAATATCTCGAAAACTATGCATCGGATAAAAAAACATGGTTGGAGTAAAAGTTGTTTGTCTCGAAGGGGTCTATCCATTGGAATCAAAGTTGACCCCCCCCCCCCCCTGAGGGAAAGAAGGAAGAAATTTAGTTAATGAAAATTTTTGCGTATGTATTTGCGTATGTAAATTTTGTGGATGTTACATTACACAAAAATTTTCCATAATTGGAGCACTATTGCAGCAGCATATTCCTGAGATCGAATCAAGTAAAAAAGTCATGTACTACTTTTCTCTCCGACAAACAGTTATCAAGATATCATGAGTTAAATATTGAAAAAGTTATCAATTTTCTCTTGAATATCTCAAAAAGTATTAGGCAAATAAAACATGTTTCAGACGAAAGTTATTCATATTAATTAGTAGAATAAAATAGTATAATAAACAACGGGGGTTTCCATTGAAAATTTCAAAGTTACCCCTTCCTCCCCTCAGGGGGTGGGGGTGGGGGGTCAATTTTGGTTTCAATGGATAGGCCCCTTCGAAACAAACAACTTTTACGCCGACTATTTTTTGATCCTATGCATAGTTTTCGAGATATTTCCATGTCCACACTTAAATTGACCATCCTGTATAATAGATTTAAAGGTTCCACATAGGGCAAAAATTTTGACTCGGGATTACATAGAAAAATTGTTATAAATGTAAAAGATCGTAGATCGGTATTCACAGTCAAACCTTACATTTATGACCGAATTTACCTAAGGATGCTACATGGAACATTTCGTTGGCTACAGAGTCTCGAAAGATGATCTTAAGACGAACTTAATTATAAGATTTGACTCCGAATATTCTTAAGGTCTGTATGCGATGCATCGTGGACACAGGCCTTTACAATCTTGTGCCGAAGTTAATAAAACGAAGTGATAAATCATACTTCTTTGAAATACATCATTATAGTTGTTAATTTGGTTATTGGTTGATTATTTCCAGGGTGAACCGAATAATAAATGTCCGCCTACCCGAGATTTACCCTTTTCGCATAACCGTGAAAAATGTCAACCGCTCAACTGATCGTTTAATCGTTAATCGATGAGAAATCCGTGACCTTTTGGGCCAATATAAACTTGCGAACGAGTAATATCCCTCGTACAGATTCCTCGAGATTAGCGCGCCCGGTATCGACGAATCAGTTGGTATTTTTTTTCTTGTAAACACTCGTTTCGCGAATAAAACCTCGCGACTATGCAAATCGAAAAAATAAATATATCATCGACGTGCGAAATGATTTACCGATGAATAACTCTAGCCTATTGTTACCGGACGTGCAAAAGCGAGCGCATTATTTCCGCAAGAAGCGCCGCGATTCTCACGGCGATGCGTTGCGCATAAATATTTGCGCTGCGCGCTATCGCAGCCCGATATATTAATTGCGCGGTATATAATTAATTCACGCCCAATCGCCCGTGAGTCCGTTCCGCCGATATACCATTGTCGATGCCGTTCGCGCCCCAGTACTATTTATTTATTTATGATGCGGTCTAATTTACAATCGGTACGCGAGAAGGCCAGGCGCGTTGCGTAATCGCTGCAGGGAGCACGCGGCGCTGCTGTTTATCATTATGCGCGGAAGAGAGAAATGGAAGAGAGACGGAGAGAAGAATCACAAGGTCCTCCTCCTCGATGCCTCTCGGCACACATGCAATTAAACACTCTGCTCTTTCCCCCGTTCTCACCTTCGTGGCATGTTTATGCTTCCGAGGCTCCGAGAGCTTCAGCCTTTTCAAATGACGGTCTTGCGTTCGTGACACACGTCTGTGCTATCGTTTCGCTCAGAAGTACGCACGCCTATAGTCTTCTCATTCATAGATTTTATTTACACAAATTGGCAAATTTGTGTCAATCCTTATATAAATGTATTATTAATAATGTATCTTTTATTAATAATTGTATCCTTATCTAAATTTATTATTAATAATAAATTTATTAATAATAAATCGATGATATGTTACGCGTACATGAATAAATTTGCCAGACCCACAAAAATTTAAACAGTTTGATAAAATATAAATTTACAAAGCCGTAACGAAATAATCTCACAAATAGATCTTGTTATTTTTGCAAATTAATAATTACCTTTAAAGATCGTCGGAAGCGCAGCATTGATTATTAAATAAAATATTATAATAATATTAATATTTAATAATTGTAGAAGCACCGTGACTTTTTCCCATGAGATAACTTGGAACTGCTTTCCCAGTTTTATTCCCTTCTCCTACTCTCTTTCACCCCGTCGTATTAATTCGCCTTTCTCACCTCTGTACGTTTTTATTTTTAAATGCTCTTGTCCGGCAGTTTGGCCGGTAGTGATCGTGCTCGTACCTTTCTCACAACTCGAAGCTGCCTCAGTCCCTTCTTCGACGTCCCTTTCACTCGGGTCAACGAGCGAGAGGAAGGGCATATCTCTCACGAAAGAGATTGCGCGAAAGGCGAAGGGAGGTGCGTTAGAGAAACTAGGAGGGTGCGGGCGGGAAGAGGAAGGAGAAAGAGTACACGGAGCACGAGAAATGGAAAGACCAAGATCCAGTTTGAACGTTGTATGTTAGTCCTCTCGCTGGTCCCGCGCATTTCGAGATAGGATTGGTTTTATTGCGAATCCGGTTTGCTCTCCATGCACGACGACGGAGCGAACTCACAGCTGAAAGCCGGACATGGAAAGGGAGGGCGGGAAGGAAGAGAAAGAGAGAGAATCGCGAGAAAAAGAAAGGACCGCCTGTAACCTGCGTGGGGAGAAATCCTTTCTTTCGTTCCGCCAACACTGTGGTCCCCTGGTCGTCCTGCTTGCCCCGCTCTCACCCTTTCTCTTCTTGTTCTACCAGTCGTTGCTGCTGCATTACTGTACCCGTCGCTGTTCCTTCCGCCATTGTTGCTACCGCCGGCTGCCAGCCGTTTGCTCGTCGCACGGGAGATAGTTGATGGAAGTGACGACGGTGGAAGTGGTGCCTAGTTTCAAGGTTGCCACCTCGGACTCGTGAGTCTCGCACGCGCGTTACACACGTTAACAAGACACACGCGTTTCGCGTCTAATTTGACTCAACGCTCGCAAAAAACGGCCGATATTCATGTACTCTCAGGCTCAAGTAGAAATTTAGTAAGACATTAATTAAGACGTTAATTCAAAATGTGATTTTAAAAACTAACCTAAACGAGATAGGGAAAGTGGAGGCATTTGTATCTAACAATAAGAGAATCTACAAGGTAAGATCAATTCCAAATTGAATAAATGTAGAAAATTGATTCATCATGTACTGGCGTCAAATAATTCTTCACGTCATCCAAACTGAATGTTCGGTATTCGGTATTCAATAACGTTTATCAGCGTCGCCGATAAAATTGTCCCCTACGGAACATTCATAAACCGAAATAAACATTTCTGCGGGTTTTTGCATCAACTGTACTTCTCTAATGGATAAGCTTTGCCATCCTGCATCAAGTATTGCAAAATCTCGCTCCGGAAATATGACTATGGATTATGCGTACTTAGCATAACATTTATGATCGTTTTTCGTTACGTATACGCACGCGGCTGGAAAAAAAATACGCACGTGCGGCAGATTGGATCGATAATTATAATCAGGCACGGCGAGCGAAAGGATTCTCGGGCGTCCTGGTGCGCGGCACTTTTTGTCGCTTAATGAAAGGCGGTAACGCCTCTTCGCGGAAAGATACGAGTCGATTCTAAAATAGGAACGAGGTTGCACGGGCGTGTGCACTTGTCATTAGCATCGATAGATGCTTATTTGCGCGCCTCGTCGGGAAACGAGAGTTCCACGGGCGCTTCGAGGACTAAAAATTCAGCGTCAATCCGTAATCAGCGATCGAGCGATCCCAGAACAATTTCGCTTGCAAATACATAGCGATTGCTACGAGTCAAACGTTTTGCCGAGGGTACAGAGGGAAGTGCGTTCTATCAAAGCGAGAGGTCATCAAACCTCAAACCAAGAGTCGCCATCGCTGCGCAAGGAGTCCGACTCACTGATGCTCTTTTTCAGAAAGTGAAAATGGATATGATCGAGCAGTCTCGAACATCTATTTATGCATATATATTTGCGCTTGCAAAATATCAGCGCGCCCGAGATCGTTCGCCAAGCGAGCGTGCGTGACTTTTAGGTTGGCAAATGTATCTCCGTTCGCTTCTCCGCGCGACGTCGAGAAGGTAATCAGCCCCGATGGAAAATAAGTAATTCGCCGTAAGAATAACATTCGGGACGAGTATGATTGGAATTAGTTTTATTCTTTTTCAGGATGCTAACAAAGTCCCTTTTCCGCCGCCGAGAAGTAGCCATTCTTACGCCTGCCTCGCTCAAGAATTTCCTCACGCCCCAGTTTGGGGTCCGATGTCTCAGACAATTGAAAACGTGTGAAACTAGTTGCGCAAGCTGACATCGTTATGCGGTTTTATTAGCGGAGGAAAAGACGTCGCCGGGGCGTGAGCGTACCTCGCGCGTCTTATCGTGGATCTCCTCTTATTTCAGTCAATAAAGACTCATCCGCTAATCATGCGTTACCAAGATTTTAATTACCCCGGGGTGTCCCGTTTGCGCGCGGGTGACACGTGTCACCCGCGCATCGCGGCCTCGTCACTATCTTTCGTTTGACGATTTTATCGGCGATCCGCCGTTTGCGACGCGCCGCGGCGGATCAGCCGGCGATCGCATCGTGCACGCGTATCGATACATGGAAGAAAATACGATTGTGCTATCATCGCGGGGAACGAAGCAATAGAGTGTAGTTAATGGCTCCGGCTGATGTCACGCGGTAACCTTCTACTTTGCACGTACAGTAGTTCACAGAAATACGCTCGCGAGTGCGACACGCGCGCTCTCTCACTCGTCGAAATACAATCGGGATCGGAGTCCGCGAGAATTTTCGCTCCGGGAGACGGCGGTTCGCGCGATCATAAACGCGCGTTGCATAAAGTGACAACCTTGGGGAAATGCGACGGAATTCTACGTAAAAGAGATGATTAAACATTTTTCTCAATTAGTTGCTCTCTTAATTGCTCTACAAGACTTTCGGTGGATGTTCCGTCTAAGGCAGTATTCCTTAAAGTACAATTTTACTTCAAGCGACCCGATCACGTCTTCAGTTGATGTACAAAAAATTGGCTCTTAAAGCAAAAATATAGAAAATATCATTGAAGTAAAATTAACTTCATTAAATTAATTTGTTTAATTAACCTTCTGACATTCTCCCTCCCTTTGATTTTCATACCTCGCCTTATTAGCGAGTTAATCAGGCAGGTATTTTTGAAAGGCCGACCCGCGCTTGGAACAAAACTGGCACAAAATGAGCAGTTTGAATCGTCGACTAATGCGACAATTAGCCTCAACGCGGATCGGTATAATTTTAAGGAACGCTGCGTTATTACCGATGCGATTCAGTGAAAGGCGAATTGAATGCGCGACCGCGAAGGTTTTCGCGAAACGACGCGCTCGACGTGCATGCTGACGGGGCACGGATCGTGGCGGATCTGCACCTTGGCGACGAATGATAAGGTCTCTTTTCCACGTACGTGACCAGATAATAAGCCGAGAGACCTCGACTTTCCAAAGAAGAATACGTGCGCGCACACGCCTCGCCGTAAGAAAATAGGAAAAAAAACAACGGCGGGATTGCATAAGAGATCGTCTTTCTGAAACGACAGCTCGTGTCGCCGATGGAAACGGTTAGAGACGTTGACGCAATCGTCATTCAGGATGAGACGAGACGCGCGAAAACAAATAGCGAAGTATCATAGAATTTGAATTAGCGGCCGAATTGAAATCGACTTCCACTTTCTCCATTTTGAAATATACAATTAACTTATCCTTATCAATTTTTTTTACCCAAGTCAAACTGACTTCTAATGTCCATTTCTACCAATGTAGATTAATTTTGATCTCGGTTTAACTTTCTTTTTATCTTTTTCTCGTTCTAAGAATTGGAAAAAGATGGAAAGTAAATTAAACCGAGATCAAAGTTAATCTGCATTGGTAGGAACAGGCATAGAGGCTCACTTGTGGAAATTAAATTTAATAACATTCGTATGTGTGCGCGCGCGTGTGTGTGTGTGTGTAAATGTGCGTTCAGAATATAGGCAGGGTATGTGGTGGCGCACGTACGCGAGAGAGAAGATGAGGCTGAATTGTTTGCGCTATATATAACACATTCATAAAAAGCGACTACAATCTTAATAGATAAAACGCGTGCGAGATAAGCACGTGGAATGATTAGCTTCAAATAGGATTCAATTATTCAGCGACTGCCGGTCAGATCCTCGCTCGACTCATTAATTCACGGTCATTCGTAACTACGTCGTTTCCGCCTGCTTTCTTTTCTAGTGCTTTCTTGTCGCGGTATCTCTTCAAACGACCGTGCTTTTACGACAACATTTCTTACCTATGTACTTAGTATTTATTATACGCGTCCACAATATTCGCTGCGATACAAAACGGGTTAATGTATTGCTCTTATCTTTTTTACATTTCTTAGAAAGTACTTGAAGAAACGTGATGCGAACTGTAACGCGATTACCGATAGTAAAACCGCGAGTAATGCATCATCATACGGGAGCACCGATATGTGAAGAAGAATTCGAGCTGCGCGATTGGAATGTCACTTGAGAGTTTCTTAAAGATATTCCAGGAGTATTTTAAGAACGGCACTTTCAAAACGCGACTATCAAGGGGAGGGGGAGGGGAAGATATAGATTAAAACTTGAAAGAGCACGTTGTTGGACTTCACGTGTTCTGTAACACGTGTAAGAGCGTCGTTGTATCGCGATTACGTTGAAAGAAAAAAAAAGTTTTATCTTAAAAAAAATGTAGAAATACCGCGACACGCGAGCAATTGTCGATTATTTTAGTCAAGTTCGTGGTGTAAACTAGAGATTAGGTAGAATTGCTTCCTTTATTTAGAACAGCAATTGTTGACATTTTGAAAGAGCGGCGATAAGACGGTCGCTACACGATAAATCGATCGTACAATTATCTGTCGCCTTGACTCGACACGCAATTAAACGTCCGCCTGGGCGCACGTGCGTGTATGTACACGCAGGCGCGTGCATACCACCTTCCTTGCCTTTTTCTAAAGCGTTCCTGATCTTTCACCCGATTTTGAACGCGGCAGACGCGACGCCTGCATTCGCATTACAGGTCATTATGTAATACGCCGCAAAGCGTTATGCGAACGTTTCGCACTCGGTGCCTTGCACCATTGCGATCTCAAGGTCTTCACATTGTTATTTGTACGCCGCGTTAACGCGTCCCGCTGCGGTCCAGGGACGTGACACGCGGAGAAAATCTCGTCGCGCTCATAAGCGCGCTCATGCGAGGAAAATTTCTCTCGCATGGCGTTCTCTCTAACGCAAAGAGCGGGTAACCGCTTGGATTTACGTGGACAATAAGCGATTGTTTCGACGCTTCCTGAAACTTAGCCTCGCTTATTATGCTGATTAAACATCGACTTTTAGCGAATGTTTACCGGTTACTATTTTTATTCGAAACAAGATTGACTCTAGCGCACGTACAAATATCAAATTAAAATTCAGATGAGATGTTCGTACGTCTGGTGCATTGTTTTTATTTTAACAAAGGAAGACGCAAATAAAAGCGGAAATACTTGAGTATTTCATAAACATAATATATATAGATCACCCGAGTCAAAATTTTGGTACTATTTTGACACTTTTAAGGATAATTTACACCTATTCAGCTGATCTATACACCTACATAGACCAGCAATAACCTACTTTGATGACATTATATTTTTTTACTCCTCCTTTGAATTCTGAAAATTTATTTTAGCTCCTACTTAAAAGGACCTACTTTAATGCTAAATTGGCAAAAGTATAAATTTCCGACACTATCAGTTTTAAAGGAGTAAATTTTGTACTTGCAGTTCGACCCCATTCACTGTCTAGGTCCTACTATATAATAGAATTAAAAGTTCAACATAGGGCCACAATTTCAACTCGGGCGAGCATTTGCCTTAATTTGAGCAGTGAGGGTAGAGGTTCAGGTAGAAACGGCCAAACTCTATTATGTATAACTTGTGCTATTTCGAAATAATTTGGCCTTTCCTTCGTGAACTTCAATGCTCGAGTCTTTTAAAAGAGAGTTTGTTTCCGTAAACAGATAAATAAAAAGTTCTCGGAAAAGATTTGTCTGCTTTACAGTGTTAAAAAGGACTCTTTGTTAAGCGCATTGCTTGTATAATGTTGTGTCAGTGTATGTTTGTCCCAATGAAATACAACTCAAAACACATCACATAAAAATGACAGGTAATACAAAGCTTAAGTGTGAAATGAAAGTAGAGAAAGGTTCGGCACTTTGGACACATTTCCGACTTTCTACACAATACCGATAATCCGGAACTAAAAGTTCTGTCCTTACCTCTGTCATCAGGTTTTTCTGGAATAATTTAACTGCTGCATCCCAGAAGTATTCAAATTTTTTACCTCTTATACAATTCAACCCTTTGATACAACTTCAATTTTAATTTTTGCAAACTTTCTGACACTGTAGATTATAAATGCTATTTGATTTTTCATTTAATAACCCTTTCAATAAAATTAATGTGAGTGTCACAAATACCAAATAACGTTAAAAGGTATAGAGACGTCTAACAAATCAAAGTAGACATTATTCTATCGTCTTCTAACATTTCTCTGTTACTTAGAATTTGTGACAATACAATTTAATTATTTTTATTTTCTGAGCTTGTATCGTCAATTTCTACGCTAATTTGAATTAAAAAAATTATAAATATATCTAACCTTTCCCGTGAACTTTTAATCGCGCGAAATATTCTTTTTTTAAATCTTTTTTTAATATCTTAAAAAAATCTTAATTTTATTTACAAAAAAAACACAAATAAAAAAGAAAGAAAATCTACATTAGATAGAGGAAAGTTCTCTATTATGAGATAGTAGGTTTTCAACGTCCAAATTCAATCACAAATCTTTTTCGCAACGATTGCACGATCTAACAATCAATTCTCCACTAAACAGAATTCACTCCAAGGGCAGTAAATTCATAGAATGGAACCGACAGATGATACCTATATTAATTTAGGAGAAACTCCGCTATCTCATATCTGTCCCATGACGGGAGACTTTTCTCTGCTTATCTTACTTAGATCAAATATAGTACTTTAAAAATAAATGCGTCTTATAATGCTTATCACCAGAAAAACACTAATTTAAAGGTAAGAGTTCTCTCTCAACAACTGTTGAAAAAAATTCCATTATTGCACTAGACATATACAAAGATTGGATAATCTTTCGATATTACCAACGAAAGGGGGAGAGAGAGGGGGAGGGAGGGGGGGGGAGAGAGAGAGAGAGAGAGAGAGAGAGAGAGAGAGAGA